AAAATCTTGAAATTTGACATCCATATTGATATGGTTTCGATCATGTCTCAAATTGGCTACTTTCCCTGGGTAACCATGGCAAGCTGTGGGCATGAAAAAACTACCATTGGCATTGGTTGCAAAATATTGAAGTTTGACACCCATATTGATATGGATCCGATCCTGTTCCAAATTTTCCATTTCCCCCAGGGCACCCAGAACCTGCTCCTAGGAAACCAGGGCAAACTATGAACCTGAACAAGCTACAATTGGCATTGGCTTGCAAAATCATGACGTGCGACACGCAAATTGATGATTCCGGTCAGTTTTGAATTGGCCACTTCCTGTGGGCATCCAGAACCTGCTACAGAGTAGATTGCCTAATAAAACAGCCATTGGTGTTGGCTTGTAAAATCTTGACGTTTGATATTCATATTAACATGGTTCCGGTCATGTTCGAAATTGGCACACCTCCTTAGGCATCCAGAACCTACTCCAGGGTTACCATGGCATGCTGTGGACATGAAAAAACTACCATTGACATTGGCTTGCAAAATCTTGAAGTTTGACACCCAGATTGATATGGTTTCTGTTGGTCTCAATTTGACCACTTCCCTCGGGCATTCATAACCTGCTCCAGGGTAACCATGGTAAGATTTGGACAGGAAAAAACTACCACTGGCGTTGGCTTGCAAAATCTTGAAGTTTGACACCCATATTGTTATGGTTCCGGTCATGTCCCAAATTTACCACTTCCCCGGGGCAACCAGACCTGCTCCAGGGTAACCATGGCAAGTTGTGGACATGGAAAAGCTACCATTGGCATTGGCTTGTAAAATCTTGAAGTTTGACACCCATATTGTTATGGTACCGGTCATGTCCCAAATTGACCACTTCCTCCAGGGCACCCAGAACCTGATGGAAGGAAAACAGGGCAAGCTATGAACCTGCTAAAGCTATCATTGGCATTGGCTTGCAACATCTTGAAGATTGACACCCATATTGATATGGTTCCGATCATGTTCCAAATTGGTCTCTTCCTCCGGAGCATCTAGAACCTGCTTCAGAGTAGCCATGGCAAGAGATTTACCTGATAAAATTGTCATTGATGTTGGCGTGTAAAATCTTGAAGTTTGATATCCATGTTAACATGGTTCCGGTCATGTTAGAAATTGGCCACTCTCGCGGGGCCATGGTATGCTGTGGATATGAAAAAACGACCATAGGCTTTAGCTTGCAAAATCTTGAAGTTTGACATCCATATAGATATGGTTTCGGTCATGTCTCAAATTGGCTTCTTCCCCTGGAGCATCCAGAACCTGCTCCAGGGTAACCATGGCATGCTGTGGACATGAAAAAACTACCATTGGAATTGGCTTGCAAACTCTTGAAGTTTGACACCCAGATTGATATGGTTTCTGCCTTGTCTCAAATTGACCACTTCCCCCGTGGCATCTATAACTTCCTCCAGGGTAACCATGGCAAGCAGTGGGCATGAAAAAACTACCATTGGTTGCAAAATCTTGAAGTTTGACACCCATATTGATATGGTTGCGATCCTGTTCCATATTTTTCACTTCCTCCAGGGCACCTAGGGAACCAGGGCAAGCAATGAACCTGAACAAGCTGCAATTGGCATTGGCTTGCAAAATCATGAGGTGAATTGATGGTTCCAGTCATGTTTTGAATTGGCCACTTCCTGCGGGGCATCCAGAACCTACTACAGAGTAGACTTGGTAAGAAGATTGCCTGATAAAACTGCCATTGGTGTTGGCTTGTAAAACCTTGACGTTTGATATTCATATTAACATGGTTCCGGTCATGTTCGAAATTAGCACACCTCCCGGGGCATCCAGAACCTACTCCAGGGTTACCATGGCATGCTTTGGCATGAAAAAACTACCATTGACATTGGCTTGCAAAATCTTGAAGTTTGACACCCAGATTGATATGGTTTCTGTTGGTCTCAATTTGACCAATTCCTCCGGGGCATTCATAACCTGCTCCAAGGTAACCATGGTAAGATTTGGACAGGAAAAAACTACCATTGGCGTTGGCTTGCAAAATCTTGAAGTTTGACACCCATATTGATATGGTTCCGGTCATGTTCTAAATTGGTCACTTCCTCCGGGGCATCCAGAACCTGCTACAGAGTAGATTGCCTAATAAAACTGCCATTGGTGTTGGCTAATAACATCTTGAAGTTTGATATCCATATTAACATGGTTCCGGTCATGTTCGAAATTGGCCACTTCTCCCGGGCACTCGAAACCTGCTCCAGGGTAACCTTGGTATGATGTGGTGTGCTCCAGGGTAACCTTGGCCATGCTGTAGACAAATCTTGAAGTTCGACATCCATATTTATATGATTCCAACCATGTTCCAAATTAATGTGGCCAACCCCGGGGCATCCAGAACCTGCTACAGAGTAGCCATCGCAATTTGTGACGCTAAAAACGATTCTGGAGACATCACGCTGAAAAATCATGAGGATTGATACGTAATTTAAAAAATTAACCTAGTAACTTTACTGGAACCGATTTTAAGGAAATGGTCAGATCTCGGTTGTTTCTTAGCAGATCTTGGATTTGTGGCCAGCATTAAATTTAGAATTGCTTCTAGTATCAGGAAACGACATGAATTCAATTGAATTTTCATACCACAAAAAATACAAGCGATGAAAAAAAAATCAGTTTTTGACGTACCCTTTGAAAAATCGGGATCTAAATTTTCCAATGATTTATTAAAACAACTGTAATTTTCCCGTCAAATGCATCTAGTTGAATCGAAATTTGATTATTTTTATATATTTTTTGGTAAATTTTGCCTGTCCCGATCATTTTGTCAATCCCCTGTATATATAAAACGATCTTACACAACAACAAAATATTTTTGTGGATGTGGATGCACTTCAATCATGTCGAAAATATGGTGTAATATGAGTTGCCAAAAATGACAAAATTATCATTAATACAGTGCATGAACTGACATTACGCTGCTTTTACTGCATTTGTTTATTTTTGTGGCCATAAAAATTACATCAGATTTCCGACATGATTGAAGTGCATCCTCTTGGATGTAATATTTAAATTTATTTTTTGCTGTGTAAAAATGGACCCCAAAATGGCCTTAAAACGCAAAATGCAAAAGACGAAAATGTAAAAACGGTCAAACCAATAAAATAGCCACCACCGCTAAGAAAAATGCCAAAATGTTTAAACAAAACTAATAATGAAAGAGTTAGAAAGGTCGAAATTATCACAATGACCTGAAAAACGTCATTTAGTTTCAAAATACAAAAACCACATTAAAACATCAAAATGAGAACTGGGTTTGTTTGAAAAAGCACCTGGAGGAGAAGACGGCTGCGGCACTTATTTACCTATTATCGTCAGGGGGTAAATGAAGTCCTTGAGCGCTGATTTGTTGCGTGAATATGCTTCATGTTCCAAAGAATCGATTAACAAAAAAAAAACAGCCCTCTAAGACTTAATTCACCCACTGACGATAATAAATAGGATAAGACGTGCCGAAGTCGACATTTCCCCACTATCAGGGGATCTAAATTCAAATATTTTGTTTCAAGATCGATTTTCCTGGTGATAATTTTTTTAAATCTCAACTAAGGTAAATTGATGTAATGTCGGCCTATATGCCCCTAATTTGGGCCCACACATAAATACAGCAATCGACTTAATTTTCAATAGCGACCAAAAATATCATTAGTACCGTTCATCTAGATAAAATTGATAAATAGCAGTTTTTTAGTGATGAATCTTAGATCCATAGGAAAACATTAGAGCCATTTGCCCTATCATGATTTTTGCAACACAACTTTTTCGATAATGTTCCAACCTTCTTTAGAACTGTCAAATGGAGGCGAACCAGCCCAAGGCTGAAAGCCTCATTAATAAAGTTAAATAATAATATTAGAACTGTCAAAATAATGACAGTGGGGAAAATTTTAGGAAAAATTGTTGAAATTAACTCAAACCCTTGGGATATGACTTTATTCAGAGAAAACCAATGCCATGTGTTCTACAACGCTTTATGAACACTTTTAAAATGTTGTAGATGAGTGTTCTTATTAAACATATGTTCATATATAAAAGCCATATAACATACATCTGTATTCCTTATTCAACACATGTGTATTTATAAACCCTCTCCCGAAATAGATGACATATTAATCCAATTTTCCCCAATTTAGAAACGGCATGAACCGAACATGACATGCAAAAAGCATCAGCTGATACCCTACGCACGTCGCGGTCGTCGCACAACTCGTACGATAGCATCGAGAAGACCGAAAACCTGGTGAACCGGAAAAAGCGACTGACATTTCCACTGGAATTCGGCATAGCGATATCCGAGGCGGGCGATGATGCGGAGGGGGGAGAGGGGCTAGTGTGTAGATGTGAAGAAAAATTTCCACCAATGCACAATGCTGACTGCTGCGAAGGATGACATAATTCGACCGAATGCTTCATGAATTCCAAGGAGCTTCGGCGAATTCGTTTCCCAAGAATACGACGGTGTGGAATGGACCGATCCAATACTGGATTGCCTATTGCCCCACCACCACCTCCATCACCATTCTGGGACTGCGCGACTGGGGTGGTTGGCTGGTTGGCTAACTGAGTAGCAACGTACCCATACTTGGGCGAACAGATGAGTCATCGCTTTTCGATTGTTTTCTTCGGAGGGTCATCCGGAGATGCCGTTGGACATTAGTTACGAAAATTATATAATTTTGTAAGGTTTTTAGGATTATTGCAAGAATGACCGTTTGTCGAAACCGGTGACTGTCACGTATCAAATTTGCATAGCACAATAGATTGAGCAATATGCTCGATGTTTTATCATTTGAGGATTCCTTATTAGACGTTGGAATTAACGACTTTTGGTTTAAAACGTAAAAAAAGCACTGGCAAAGGATTTGAACAAAGAGATCAATTTAGTGAGCGGCATCTTGGAAGGATTTAAAAGGGGAAAGGTTACCGAAGGAGTTGATGTCTTACCTGCCGGCAGAATGGGGGCTCGGCACGTGTGGCAGAAGCACTGCATAACCGAATCTCGGACTAATCCAATCAACATTTTGGCTTACGTCTGAGGACACTGATTCAATCCCAGAAAAATCACTAATTTACCACTCGAATCGGTTGATTTTCTTCACTTTTAGACAACTTGTCTGTGTCGTGTGCGTTCCGATTTTTCCACGGATTTTCTTCTTGGTTTCGCGTTAGTGTTCGTCGACGACTGCGGCACAACTGAGTCTAGCAGGATATATGGGCAAATAATTCCCGTCACAGACACTCTCGCTCTCACTGAATGAACACAATTCGTTTTTTTCCCTTTACACGCCAACTGCAGTTTGCCGGAAATATATCAAAAATCACAATCTATGGGCAAGCTTTTGTGAATAAACGGATCCTGCAATCCGGAATGCTTCAATAAAGAACAATTTTCACAGAAAACAGACGATTCAAATGCAAGAACTTTCCCTTCAGTTCTCTGTAGAAACTCAGGGCGGGGCACACATTAGATGCGGAAAAACTTTATCCTATTCACCGAAGCGGTCTTCGTCGAAAAGCTGCTCTCCGTATGTGTGTACTCTCTGATCGCTCTGGTCAGGACCAAAGGCCTCTCCTTCTGTGTTTTTCCTTTAGGCTTTTCCGCGCTACCACCACGTGTCTCTTCCTCTCGATGCTGATGTCTCCTTTCTCCCACCTCCGGGTATCCTTGCAAGTATCAAGCACTCAACTAAACGGATCGTTCGAGTTCTGAGCCGTAGCGTAGCGAGTTCCGTACACGTCAAGTTCTAAACAGGGACTGCGCCGTGCTGACTTGCCGGCAAACGGATATCGCTGCTATCGACACCGTAGGATTCCGAACTCTGAACCCGAACAGGACACACTGTGCTCTCCGCTGTCGTACTTACAAACACAATTTCACACACGCTCTCAGTGCCAGAGCGGTGCGTTTTCCACCTCTCCCACAAAACCCCCGCTTCGAACGCATCGACCAACCGCCGATTCACTACAAATAAAAAAAAAGGACAAGGCGGCAAGGAAAAATCAATACTACATCAAATCCTTGAACAGGCAAGGAATAAGTCAGACGGTTCACTAACACAACGATCCAAAAAGCCAAACGCGACATGGGAGAGAAAAACTGGAAGCTCTCTCTCTTTCTCGTCCGGTCGCTTTCCCAAGCCGGTAGATGGGTTTTCCATGCAAGGAAAAACCGAACGTCGTCGTAAAAGTTCTTTCTTCATGGTTCCTTTTTCCATGTATATTGAATGCGAAAATTTAATATGAAATGTGTTGCTACCGCTGAACGGTGGTGCTGCTTCTACAGTATCGAAAGGTAGTGCGCGATGGCACACTGTCGCCAGGTGCTGCCATGTGGTTTGGTTGGACAAAGGAGGAAGTTCGAGTCACTTTTTGCATGCGGCTTGCCGTCGTCGCCTAGGGGAGAGCCTTCTTTTGGAGGGGGTGTTATGCATCATCGGGGGAAACTTGTTTGGTTTTGACGAGGGAAGGAAAACATCGTCGTTTTAAAAATCTGGAATGCCGCTGCAGTTGGGCCGAATGGGTCATTAGGCCGAAAGTTATATACATATTCATCCGTACTTCATCAGCAATTAATTTGTTAGGCATACGAGGCCTACGATAGACTGTCTAGTCAGTTGAGGCACGGTATTGTCAAGCAGATTCCCAGAGCATCATTCTGCTTGCCACACAATATACAAATTCATGCATTGGTTGGCATAGAAAGCTATAAACTAATAACTGTTGAAGTGCTCTAAAGAGCACTAAGAAGGTAAAAGCTCGTATAAGAGCGTCAAATCCCGGAAGAAAAAAAGATGATTGACGTACGAACGTTAGGCATTCAATTCAAGGGTTCAGATTAGCAACTTACCGTTTTTTCGTATTCTTCGAGGAATGTTATCACTTTTTAGGTTATGCGATATGCATTTGAATTTAACATAAATCGAATACGATTGATCCGAAAAGGTCACCACATTTAATGGATCTGGAATTGGTTTCTGCGTCCGAAATCTTCAAAATTCGTCGATGTCGTAACTGCTTTTTATCCAGTACAGCGCTCATAGTGGTCGGTTCTGTAATCTTTTTACAGAAATTTGTTTACAATGCCTTTCTCTTGAAACGCTGTGCAAAATTTAAAAAAAGTACGCCATGAAGAGAATCAATTCTGCACACAAGGTATGAAAACCCGACATGGTCGGGTACGAGGATCGCAAAGGAGTTGGAAATGGCCAAAATCACCGTCTGTGCAGTGCTGAAACGTTTCAAGGAACGTTTGTCTGTTTCCCGGAAGGTGCAATCAAGGCGTCGTCGAAGCGGTACAGTGGATCGGAAACTGCGTCAGAACGTCATGAAGGCCTTTAAAGCGAATTCAGAACTTTAAGACGTGGATGTGGCCTCGGTGCTGTTCGCAGTACAGTTCAGAATATACGCATGCGGGAACTGTAAAACAAAACATTACGGCTAAAACGCGGGCCCGAAAGCTGTATGACCAGGTGCTGACCAAATCCAACGGATCCATTCTTATGGACGGTGAAACGTATGACAAATTGGACTTCAAACAGCTTCCGGAACAGATGTTTTATGTTGTCAGGGGTCGCGGAGATATTCCTAAGAAATAGAAATTTGTTTTTGCGGACCAGTACTGTTGGTCCATGGCATGATGTGTATTTATTTCTGGATGAAAAATCATAAACGACATGAGGTTTAGCAAATGTCCTTTATGAGCCCTACCGGACCCGGTTCCGGGTATCCAGATGTGGTTATATCCACCTTACAGTCCATGGCATGATGTTTATTTTCTTCTGGGTGAAAAACCATGGACTCATGATGACATGATGTATTTTTTCTTCTGGATGAAAAATCATAAATTTTGAGCCGTCGGACGGTATCAGTACATAAGGTTTTGAAAGTAACCTTTCTGGAGCCCTGTCGGAACCTGATTCGGGTATCTAGAAGAGGCCACATCTTCCTGTTAGCCCATGGCATGATGTCTATTTACTTCTTGATGAAAATTTTGAGTCGTCAGATGGTACCAGAACGTGAGGAAGTGTTTGTTTTTTGGGCCGTGCCGGAACCGGTTCCGGGTATCCAGATGTAGCCAGATTTACCTTTTGGTCCATGGCATTTACTTCTGGATGAAAAATCATAAATTTTGAACCATCGGACGCTTCTAGTACAAGAGGTTTCCTTTTTGGGGCCCTACCGAAAGCGGTTCCAAGTATCCAGTTGTGGCCAGATCCACATTTCGGATGATGACATGATGTCGATTTACCTCTGGATGAAAAATCGTAAATTTTGAGCCGTCGGACGGTACCAGTACATGAGGTTTTAGAAGTTTTCTATTTGAGGACCTGCCGGAAACAGTTCCGGGTATTCAGATGTGATTAGATCCACCTGTTGGTCTATTTACTCCTGAGCCGTCGGATGGTACCAGTACATGAGGTTTAGGAAGAGTATTTTTTGAGCCCAACCGGAACCGGTTCCGGGTATCCGGATGTGGTAAGATGTTTTTTTACTTCTGGATGTAAAATCATAAATTTGGAGCCGTCGGACGGTACCAGTACATGAGGTTTTGGGTGTGTCCATTTGTGCCCTATCGGAACCAGTGCCAGGTATCCTAAATGGCCAAATTGAAACAATTCTGGGCAGGGTGCCATTTTAGGAACTTTTATCTTTCTTGTGAGGCCAATAGATCAAGAATTGCTTTAAAATTTGATTTATGGGAGCGAGTTGCAGTCTGGGTCATTTTAGACCCTAATGCACAATATGTCACTTTTTTTTTGCAGTGTAGCTCCTAGAGGTCGCTGAAACCTTCTTTTGACAGCAAGATGTTCGTTTCCGAAAGTTAGGAATAGTCAGGGTATTTCAAGTCTCTATCATATTTCGTTACAAAGCTACAGCTTTTTTAAAGGTGACGCAGGGTCAAAAAAGACCCAATGCGCTAGGAAGGTTAATGTAATTTTATGTACTGAAAATGTAATGAATGCACATTATTTACGAAATTTCGACTGTAATTAATCGACTTAAAAAGAAGCAGGGTGGCCAGTGAATTTTCATTTTGAAATTCCCGGTTGTTCCTATTCAACAAAAAACGAAATTGAACGCATTTTTAAAAAAGTGCTGAAAGGAATTTAGTGAGAGGATAAAAAAAAATGATTTAAGAAGATTCCCAAGATTCTGTGCTTTAAAATTTGTGCAGAGTCTGAAATTTAAACTTTTTTTCTTAACTTGCGATAAATACAATCTTCGTGATGCAAGATTTGGAAAAAAATAATTAAAATGTGAGATTTTGAAAAAAAATCAAGATCACAGATTTGAAAAAAAAATCATACTTATGAGTCGTGGAGTCATAATTGTCACGCTCTGAGACTTGGAAGCATTTTAAGGGTCATAAAAAATTACAGAACAATCTATAGAATCTAGCGGACAAACCCTGAAATGTTTAGTAAAATTTAAAAGAATTCAAAGTGTTGATTTCAAACAAATATTGAGAAGGATTACCACACAGTTTCCCAAGGAGAAGTTCGGAGCAGAATTCCTGAATTATTCTGACATGAAATTCTTAGAAATTGTTAGATGAATTAGGAGGGATTTCTGTGGAGAAGAATGCAAGTTCTTAATTAAATTTTTAGGTAATTTTAGAAGATTTAAAAAGGAGTTGTGATAAAAAAACTTTGCGGAAAATTCCTACGTGCTTTTGAGGAGATTTGTATGGGGATCGTGAGGAAAATGACAGATGAATTTTAAGAAGAATTCCAAGAGAATTATGATCAGAATTCAACAAGAAACAGAGTTCTAAGAGTGTTCTGGCAATAACTTCAACCCTACTGCGAAAGATTCATCACAGAACTCCAACAAAATTGATTGCAAAAAAATTGCTGATAATTAGAAAGAAATTCTTTAAAATACTCCAAGGAGTTTCTAAATAAAATTTCTAAAAATTTCTGCTGTTTTTAATAGAGTTAGAAGAAATTTTTGAAAAGATTTTCATGAGCATAAGCATGATTGAACGCCCACGGTTTCTACTCTGTTATTGCCAGACCAGCTGTAATTACACAGAAAACCAATAGACGATGCTTGGGACTAGCAATCATCCTCAATGTTTAAAAATTGGTGATCTCGAATTAGGCAATACCAGCGCCAGCCGCGCCTGAACGCAGGTTAAGAAAGGAATGGGTAGGAATGTGTTGATGTGACACTCGCTTTGATGGAAGCCGAGGAGTCCTCTGCACTTCCACGAGGAATCACAGGGACGTTAGGTAAGAGGGTTGGGTTAGCAGCAGGGTTCGTTTTGGTAAACGATAAGCTGAATTGATGTCCTAACGATCGTATAACGCGAAGGAGCTTGGGATTGAACCCACGGTCTTCTGCTCAGTAAGCAAAAACGTTTGCCACTAGGCAGACGAGCTCCTTTTTAATCATTAACGAATCTTGAATGTGGATGGGCTTGAGATTAGACTCATGATGTTCTGCTCAGTAAGCAAAAACGGTTGCTCTAAGGCCACCGAGCCTCTCATATCACATTATAGCGTTACTCAAGTTTTTATAACTATTCAAACCCGGCACCGACGACAACGAAAAGTTTTACAAAATACACTGGAGTCGTTCTTTACGCGGGTGATACGTCCCGCGTAAAAAAACCGCGTAAAAAAAAAACCGCGTAAATTCCGGAATCCGCGTAAAAAAAAACCACGTAAATTCCGAAATCCGTGTAAAAAAAACCGCGTAAAAAAGACCGTGTAAGAAAAAACCGCGTAAAAAGCGATATACCGCGTCAATTCTGAAATT